CAGATATACACATGCCATTGATGTGCCTGTTTATGCCTGTCACCCATTTAAAAATTTAGTCTGTCTTTTTCTTACTGATTTGTAGGAGTTCTTAACATATTTTAGGCACTAATTCTTTGTTATGTTTTACAAACCTCTTCATCCACATTGTGGTTTCTTTTCCTCTCTCTTTATAGTGTTGTTTATAAAGAAAAGCCCTTAATTTTACTGTAGTTGAACTTATCAATCTTTTCCTTTATGGTTAAAAAAATTCTTCCCCACCACTAAGTCATAAAGATATTCTCTCATACAGATCTACAAAACTTATCTGAAATCCTTGGAGTCCGATGTGTTTTGGAATACTGAATTTTTTTTTATATTGGAAAGGTACTATGTAACATGTAACATATATTATTTAACATTCTCAACAAGAACTCGGTCAGGCCCCATAATCAATCACATTAATAATTACTATAGCAAAACATGTACAGTAACACTGATATAAATAACAACTATAAATAGCCTCAGACAAATTCAAGTCACGTTTGTCACCAAATGAGTTGCAAAAAGTGTTTGGTGTTTCAGAGGTTTGGGGATTTCACAATTACTGTAAGTTATGGTAGTTTCATATATTAAGAATGGTATTACAGGTAGTTCTCAACTTATGACAAATTCGAATTATGATGAACCGTGCTTACAGCTGTCCTTTTTTTTTGTGTACAACTTATTATTAGTAATATGTACTACATAAAATGTTGCAGCACATAATTTGCTGATGTTATCATTCTCAGATGTTCACTCGCAGATGTTCAATGTTATGATTTACTGATAAACACACTGCCATATAGCAGGCTATGGCCTGTTCTTACAATCAAGTCTGTGTCAGTGTCTGTCTTAGGCTGGGTTCTCTAGAGGAGCAAAACTAGTAAAGCATATATATATATACATAATAATATATATCTATATAAAGATTTATCTCAAGGAAATGGCTTATGCAGTTGTGGAGGCTGCCAAGTCCCAAATCCATGGGTCAGCCATCAGGCTGGAGGCTTCTTCTCCTGACTCACATGGTTGCAGGGGCGATGAACCCAAAACTGGCAGGTCAGGTGAAAGGCTGCTGACTCACGTCCCAAGAACCAGAAGGTAAGAAGATGATGAGCCAGATGCAGGATCCACAGCATGCGAGCTTTGCCAGAATATCCGTACATATTGAATACAGGGTACATGTACAAGGAAACTCCCTTTTCCACTGATTGGCTGCTCACATCAGATCACAAAATGAGGGATGACTACATCAGATCATAAAATGGAGGATGATTACATTATTACATAACTGCCAAATTACCATTACATAACTGCCATGAGAATCATGGCCCAGCCAAGCTGACACCCAATCTTAACCATCACAGCATTGGTGTAGATAGTCATAACGGTTAGAAAGTTGGGGAATGTTCAACTCTAAGGACATAGGACAACTGAACTGTGCACATGCCCGACAGCCGTTACCATTCCAACTTCACCGTTATGACACTGACTGACACTAACAAATAACGATCTGATTTATAAAGATACTGATAATAAAAGGCACCAAAAAAAAAAAAAAAACTAAAAAAAGAGGTATTCTACTTATGTCAGAACCAATTTACAACAGAGTCGTTGGAACGGAAACCTGTCATAAATCAGGGACTACCTGTATTTCAAAGTTTGGAGGAACTTACTGGTAGAGTCAAATATCTGAAATTTGTGTATGAAGATTCTTAACTACTGATTCAAATGATTTAATGGCTTAGAACTATTCATACTTTGTACCTTGAGTAAGTTAGTTGTGTTTTTTCTTGGAATTTGTACATTTATCTAAATTTATTTGCACAAAATTGCTTTAATATCCTCTTACCTTTTTGATGTCTGTAGTACACTTTTCACTACTGATATAAGTTGTGCACCTCTCCTTTTATTGCTCAGTACTATCAGAAGTTTGCAATTTTTATTAGTTTTTTTAAAAATATCAACTTTTAGATTTGCTGAATCTATTACATACAGTAGTGTGCTAGTGAATTAACTCTAAACAAAAGAAAGTAAAAGCCCAGTTTGTTTGTTGATTTCTACAGTGTAAATATTCCCACCATGACCAGCTTCAAGCTACCAATTTGATGTTAACTCAATACGGAGTTGGAAAGAGGTATGCACATTTGGCTTTCTCAAGCTGCTACAAGTCGGCTCTGGTACACCACTGCTTGTGTCTCCCACTTCATTAATTTCTGGTCTTAACTTTATTTCCTCCCTTCTACTTTCTTTAGGCTTATTTTGTTCTCCTTTTACTAACCTCTTGAAAGGGCTGTTAAGCTCAAGAACTTTCAGTTTCTTTTCTAATATACGTATTTAAGGCTATAAATTTCCCTATAAGTACTGCTTTAGCTTCATTCTATAAATGTTGCAATCATATTTTATTGTTCAGTTCAAAATACTTTCTCATTTCCACTATAAATCGTTGCCTATGGATTAAACGGACTTGTTTTTACAGTTGCTTATTGATTCCTAGTTTAATTGCATTGTGGTCAGAAAACATGTGGGGGATAATTTCAATCTTTAAAATTTGTTGAGAGTTGTTTATGGCCAAGTATATGGTCAATCTTGGTAACATATCATGTCTGCTTAAAAAAAAAAAAGTATATTCTCAGAGTATAGGGAGAGCAATTACGGTCACGTAACAATGTATGTATAAATATTTGTATGAGAGACTAACTTGAATTGTAAACTTTTACTTAAACTACAACAATAAAAATAAGTAAATAAAAAAAAATTCCTAAAAAAAGTATATTCTGATTTTGGTTGTGCTGTTCTGTGCATATTCATTAGGTCAAGTTTCTAAATCATGTTGTTCAAACCTTCTATATACTTGCTGGTTTTTCTTTTGCTTAACAATGACTGAGAAAGGACTATTAAAATCACTTAATATGACCATGTCTTTTCTTTCCTTTCAAATTCTGTCTAGTTTTACTTCATATATTTTGAAGCTATGTCATCAAGTACATTTAAATTCAAATTTTAAAATTTTTTTTCAGCTCTTTCCTTTCATCCCTTTTGTATCCCTCAGTTATGCTTTAAAAATACTATCTTTATATAACTGTCCTTGAAAGAAGTTGCTCGCTTTGGTAAAGTCAAAACAATCCACTATTGGATTCAGTGAGCTATTACAGAAGAATTCCCCATATTGTAGAACATGTTTGGTGGTACTTAGCTTCACATAAAAAACCTGTTGCTGTGGAGTTGATTCCGACTCAGTGACCCTACAACAGAGTAGAACTGCTCCATAGGGTTTCCAAGGCTGTAATCTTCAGGTAAGCTGACTGCCACATTTTTCTCTGGCACAGTGGCTGGTGGGTTTGAACTATTCACCTTTCCGGAGGGCTTTAACCACTTGAACGCAAAGGAATGACCACCACCAGCACTCAGTGTAGAGCTGTAAATTGCTTGAGTTATACAACTACTTAGAACTTCAACAGAACTAGATAATTGAGCAGATGGAATCTGTTCAAGAACCAGAAGCAAGACGACAGGCCTTTACCTATAAACATGCTTGTTAATATTCAGCTGAGCGATAACTCACTTATATATTAAAAACACTGTATCCTCTCAAAATATCTGGAGCAGCTCTTCTCATCCCTTTTTAAAATACCTTGGAGTTTGAGGGGTAAAAAGGGAAGCCACAAGTGAGATAAAAACAATAATACAAATATTTATTCTCCTCATTCCTCTGACCAACTTGTACTATCTTCACATTCAAGTCCACGGATCCTTGCTGTAAACGCTAATCAAACACATTTTAATCTCGCAACCACCCACATCTCAGCAGACAGGAACTTTGCATTCATATCATATTTCAATGTCTCCAAAAACAACGACAAGCGCCTTTTCCATCCACAGAAGAAAGCCGCAAGGGTTCAAGTTAAGGTGATGATGTTGGGAAATGTACCTGGATGAAACCTCAACCCACAGGACTGGGTTCTCAGCTTGGCCACTAACTTGCCATGTGACCCTGGACAAGTCTACCCGCCTTTCTGAACTGTTTCGTTCTTGTTTTTAAATCTAAGGAACGAAGAGTTAAGACCTCAGTGCTCTTTAACGCGCCGTACAGCTCTAATATTAAAAAACCAAACCAAACTCGTTGCCATCGAGTCGATTCCGACTCATAGCGACCCTGTAGAACTATCAGTTCCAAATTTCCACAGAAAGCGCTTGTCTCGCCTTGTACGGCAGGGCTCGCACATTACGCCGGCCGGCCGGCGCTAGGCGTGACATACAGAAATCTAGATTCACGAAAGGCCACAGTTCGTCAAAGTTGTGAAAAGCTACGGGGCAAGAGAGTATCAGGAAGGACATCGGCGCTCTGGGGAGCAACCTGAACGCACTCACGCCCTACCTGCACATAACCTCTCCGGCTAGAGAAGGCCCGGAAGTTACCCTAGCAGGTAGAGAAGAAACCGGAAGCTCCGCCCCCTCCTTCAAAAGTAACGGCAACCCGTGAGGCTCATAGAAGGCAAGCGAGCCGCCGGGTGAATTGTTTTTCTTTTTGTGGGGCGGTGGGTTCTGCGGTGGCGGACTCTCGCGGCGGCAGCACTCGCTCCGCGCACTCAACGGCTGTTGGGCTGTGCGACGTCTGGCTCCTGTCGGCCCCGAAAGGAAAACGTACTTGGTTCCCGGCGAGCGGAGAGGTCGGCTTGCTCTCGGGTCCGGGCGGGGCGCGCGTGGAGTGTGGAGCTGAGAAATCACTCTCCCTGAGCCTCGAGTTCTGTGAAATTTGGTAGCACTGCTTGTCTTGCTTGATAATTTTGTCCCCGTACATTTATTTGTACAGCGTTTCGGTTCGAACATCAACATTGTAAAATGCGCACTGTGATCCCCATCATGCCAAAAAAGGAAAAAGGAGCTACCCTAAGTGACAGACTGTGTGAAAACTAATTCTGACTCCATTCCAGCGTGGATCAAATGACATAGTGTATGAGATGAGCCTCAAAAGCGAATGTTCTTCAGAGTTCTCAGCGGAGGGGTCCCAGGACGTGATTAGCGCCTGTACTGAGCAGTGGCAGGGACTGGGATAGTGAAAGTAATGTAAATTATCTGAAGGAGCCTGCTGGTAGGATGGTTAGAGAAAATGTCTGGATGTTTGTTCCTACTTTATTTCAGTGATTCTCTGTCCTGGCTGCCCATTAAAATCACCCTGGGAGCTTTTAAAAATATACCACTCGTAGAAATTCTGATTTAATTTGTCTGGGGAGAGGCCAAGCATGAGTATGTTTTAAAGCCACCCAGTGATTCTTGTGTAGCCAGGGTAACAAACCACTGCATCTCCCATGGCCTGTGATGCTATAATAATCAGCAAGCAATTTTTGACGCCTGCTGTGTGTCAGGTACTGTGCTGTGAGCCATACAAGCATCAGGCAGTTGAAAAAACTTTAGAACAAGTGACAAAGATATTAGAGTTTGGTATATTTAAACTATTCTGTAGCTGTACAGTTTTGTGGATGGCAAGTGGGAAAATAATTTTAAAAGGTGATGTATTAAAAAAAAAGTGAGTATTCTTAAGGCATAGTTAATTTAGAATTGGTCTCAGCTGCATCCTTAAAATCCCAAGGCATAACTTTTTTCTTTTTTAAATAGGGAATAACAATTTTTTTCTCGTTACCTTCTCATGAGTGGGAATTGACTTGATGGCAGTGGGTTTGGTTTTTTGGTTTGGTACCTTCTCTCAAATTCCAAGTTCCTTGTTAATGTCCAATGTTCTTTTGGCCAACAGCTTGATCCCACTAGGAATGGCAGCCCCATCTATGAAAGAAAGGCAGGCTTGCTGGGAAGCTCGCGATGAGTACTGGAAGTGTTTAGATGAGCGCAATGAGGATGCTTCTCAATGCAAGAAGTTAAGAAGCTCATTTGAATCAAGTTGTCCCCAACAGTGGGTAAGTTACACTGGTATTAACTCTGATATATGTCTGTTCTCTTTGAAAACACACTGAGCTCATTTGTGCTTCCTTCTCTGGGCCTAATCTGCTCTTTTTATATCTCAAAGGTGACTGGTGTAAAACACACCCTACACTGATTTGGTCTCATTAACATAACAAAGAAAGTTCTAGTCCCAAATGGGATTACATCCACAGGTATAGGGGGTTAGGATTTACAGCATATTTTTGAGGGATACAATTCAATCCATAACAGGTAGTATTTAATCTTGGGTAGGAGTTGGCAAATTCATTAGCCTATAGCTACTATAGAAATAACCTATACCCAGTTGCCCACCCGAAATCATATAGTCATATACTCAGAGTATAAGGAAAGGAGTTTGGAAAGTAGAAAGAAAAGGTTCATATGGTGGGTCATGCCATCAGCTGCCCTAGGCACCTACCTGACTGGCATGCTTGCTCTGTGTTGCTTGTTCTTAGTATGGTGGGGGGGGACCTGGAGAAGGGGGCTAACATTACTGAGGTTAGTAAATGGTCCTGTGCTAAGTGCTTGACACTTCATCGTCATTAACACTGTTTAAGATGGGTGACGTTATTCTCAATTTCCAGAGGAGGCAACTGTAGCTCAGAACATTCAAATAACTTGCTCAGTATTACTCAGTAAGTGGCAGAACCGTAATTCTAAACCAAGCCCAACTGGCTGGCTGAACCTTTTCTGTGCTGTTTCACTATACCAAGCAGTTTGAGAACAGATAATTTTAGAGATGAAGTGGGTTTTAGGGTCTCACCTTCCCTACCCTAAATTTTTAGCTAGAGGAACCTGAGGCTAGAAGAAGACCACCAAGAGTATGATGGAGGGTGGGAGTCATATTGGAGGGCTGGGCTAGACATGAATGCTGGCAGCAGAGCTGCCTTAAATAACTCTTCATCTGTAAAACCAGCATGTTGCAACCGATCTCATGGGATTAGTATGAAGATCAAATGTCACCCTTGACCTATAAACTGAAAACTGATAAATGCAGGCTTTATGATTGTATTAGATTAACGGTTTAAGCAGAAAATGTTATCCATCTCTAGTTTTGCCAATAGATGCATTGGGAGTAACACCTGGTTTAAGAAGTGGAAAATGTAAGCACTGTGGCTGATGTCAAATGTGAATCCTTTATGACCTTCACCTTGATAATACTGCTTATGCTTTCCCCTCATTGGCCTTCTCACTTTCCTGCTTTCTGGGCCCTCATCACTGAGAATAGGGTGGGGCCAGTCAGAGGGACTTTTGGCTGAGAACAAGGAAGGACTTGGTGTGTGTGT